AATCCGTCACAAACTGCGAGGGATTAAATCCCTCGCAAATTGTGACGGATTCTACTTAATTAAAGTCATCACAGTTTGTGACGGATTTAATCCCTCACAAATTGCGAGGGATTTAATCCCTCACAAATTGCGACGGATTTTTATTAATTTCTAAACATTTATTATTAGAAATTAGTGACGGAAATTATACTGTTTGTGATGCCTTAATTCCGTCACTAATTGTGACGGAAAAAATAATCCGTCACTAAATATTTTGTGACGCCAAATTTTGTGACGGAATCATTTCCGTCACTAATTGATTTGTGACGGATTTTATCAAAATTAGTGACGGATTTGTTCCCTCTCTAATTTTAATTTTTCTAGTAGTGAGAATCGATGTAAAATATGCAATATTCTACATTAATTCTTGGTAAAACTGATGTAGAATATGTCATTTTACATTGGTTCTATCAATAACTGATGTAGAATATTGCATATTTTATATCGATTCTATCAAGAACCGATGTAGAAAGCTCAATAGACAAATATACATTAGTAGCCAAAATTCATTTACAAAAATTACTCAAAAATCTCTTATAGCATTACATTGTTAAATACTAATCACTAAAGTCATTTACCTCCAAAAAGAAATTCCGTGCTTGTTAAATAAAGTCGAAAACAACAATATAACATTATAATTTAAATACAATGCAAGATTTAATATACCTAATAGTGAAAAATAATTAAAAAGGAGGAAAAAATGAAAAAGAGGCATTCTCTTTATGATTGGTACAAGCAAAAAGCCATAAGAAATTATTAAGAAAAAATAGTGTCAATTGATTACAACATTAGAAAAATAATAAAAACAATCTAGTTGACTACTCAAAACCTATGAATATAGTAACAAGATTTAAACACCACTCATTTTTTAAATTCTTGAATAACAAAATTGATTTCAAGATTCATGTTTATCAATGACTATTACAGCACCAGGATCAGTAACCTCACCTAGAGATCAAAATCAACTTGAGTGCTAGGATCAAAACCATGAACCATTGCTGGAATCAAATGACCTTGCAAGTCAGTGATTGATTATACAATAGGAAAAGCTACAACAGTTTAGAGAAGCCATATAAATTGACTTAGAATATATGATTTAAATCAAGATCAAATATCATGAGAACAACCTTAATTACAAGGATCCATTTTGAAAAAAATATCACGATCTCACTTATGATTTGCGCAAAAGAAAATTATAACTCTGGGAGAATGTGTACATTTCACTGACTATTGGCCTCTTTTAACAAAGCAAAGGTCTATTTTATTCCATATGGTATTCTTGTCATTAGTCCCGACTTCAAATCATGTCAACTATCATATTTTTTTACCACCTAAATTAGTATCACATTTTATTCCAAGAAAATAAATCCATTAAGGAAAATTTTTATTTATAGTTACCTCTCACTATTGTAAGGTTTTCAAACGAATATACCAAGACTGATCAACTATTATATTTAGGGGAATTGGTTAATCAAATTAGGGCTTTTATTGAAATTCACAAGCCTAATAACTATAAACATGGTTAAATAGACACACAAAACCTAATATTGAAAAAACAATGCATGAAAATATGTGATTGAGAAGCTCCTGTAAGCATTTTTTTATATTTCTAAATTCACCGTTTAAACTTTCCTTCAAGCTTCCATCTTTTATGTTATCAAATATGAAAATTCTGCATAGGAAAAAAATAGTTAGAAAATTGATATCCAAAATAGAGGACATTGTAACTGTAATAGTGGTCTATGTTCTTTTCTTAAATAAAAAAAAAAGAATAATAACTACTTTTAATAAACTTAACAACAAGTACTTATATGTTAACAGAAAAAAAAAAAAGAATCAAAGAAATTAACGAATCTATCTTAAAATCAATATTCTTTAT